GTGCAATTCGCACAAATGAATTGAACCAGAAAATGGAATGAATTGGCTGTTGCGAAACCGCTGAAAGGAAGAGAAAAAAAACTGGACTAGGTCGGACATGTAGACCACACACGAGCGGGAGAACAGCGGTAAACACGTGCCTCCGAAATGAAAGAGTCGACTAATCGCGTCTCGAGATGCATTGCTGTCGCGATTAGCGAACCGCAGAGGTTTATTTTAACGTAGCTTAACGCTCGCAATTATCTTGAGCGACAATCCGCTCACGAATGTGGAAGAAATGATGTTGCTGGGGTTTCTAAATATTTAATCTGTATACAGATCTGGAAATAAATGTTGCGCCAAAATAATTATAAAATAATTGTGATATAAAAGAAAAGAGTCAAAAGTGAAATTAAAAATAAAAATAAATGGATAATTGAATAATGAATTAGAAGGAAATATTAAATTATGATGTAAAAGTAATTATTAATAATTATGTAAGACGCTCAAATGATTGCTAGAATATCATCACAATTTAGAAGGGGATGATTTTTAAATATCGTCACAGCTGAAAAAGGTGGTGACTTTAATAATATCATCAAAATCGTACAAACTTAAAAAGGGTGATTTTTTTTTTTTAATATCGTCAAAAAGGTGGTCTGCAACGATTTTTCACAATATTGCTTATACTTGAGTGCCCTGCATAATTATTTTGACGGTCCAACAAAATTCTTTTCGCATTTGTATCTATCTAAAATTTTTATATACTTCAGCAAAACCGTATGCATTCAAATTCAGCGCGAAATCGGCCACGCTAAAAGAATTTCACGACGGTTGCAAAGTTGCTGTTTTTCCGCTGAACACAGCGATTTCGTCCTCTCCCGCGTGAAAAGTGAAAGTTCGCAGTTACAATTTGCGACAACAAATTACGAAGTCGATCGATCGAGGAATGTCTCGAAGAAACCGAGAGGCAACCGGAACGAGGAAGATCGTCGGCGACGTGCAGAAAATGCGAACGATCGTCGCTCCGATTACTCATGACGCATCCATATCCACTAATTATTCGCGACGCGGACCTCCGATTAGGCGTGTAATTACTCGCGACTTGCACGGAGGCATGCGGGATCACGTATTCCGCTCCCGCGCGTGTCACGCGTGCGCGATCACGCCACGCACTTCCGCACGCGTGCACAAACGTCGAGGGTGAAATAGATATCACGGTATACGCGATGGTATAACTTGTGATTCACGGGAACTAATGTTAAGAGCCACGACGCGGAAAGTATCAAATATAGCAGCGTTTGAAATATAATATGTCTCGATTTTTCAGATAAATTTAACGACTTTTTTGGAAATATTAGTTTAAGTGTTAAATTAAAAATAATTGTGAGTATTGTATTTGAAAAGATATATATTTGAAAATAGAAAATGCAAATAATATCCCAAGGCTCAATAAATTATGAGGGTAAAAGGAGTTAATGAATCAAGTTAATTGTATATGCTATAATTAATATATCCTAATATAATTGTAAAACACGCCGTAAGTGTCTTAAAATTATCTTGAGAGTATATATATATATATATATTTTTTTTTTATATTTAATAATATAGGAAAATGTTATCGAAGAAGTTAATCGGGGTGGCATGCTTCAAGTGTTTCTAATCTTAATACGTTATCTAATTTTAATACGTTATTATGAAGAAAAAATTACTTTGCTAAAATATCTAAAAAAATTCACTAGATACATACAGATCGGGAGTAATTTTGTTGGATCATCAAAATAATTATCGATCAAAAAGCAATTAGGACGCTCAAGCTGTTTGTTAGAATAATTAAAACTTTTCGCAGCGTTCACTTCAGCCTTTCACATAATTATTTTTATCCAACAAAGAATTAATTTCAGACGCTGTATTTTAACAAAAATTTTTATACACTTCAGCGAAATCGTTCTTTTCACGTATAAAAGAATCACTCTGAGTATCTCCCGAGTGGGAAGACATTCCTAAAAATTGGAAAAAAGTCAGAGAAGCACCATCGTATGATGTGCAACTTTTTATGTCGACATTTTTTTCTTTCGTTACTTCGCTGTCCGACGAACGTCGGCGAACTCTCGTGTTAAGTAAAGTAAAACCGGCTGATGTTACCCCGTGTGCTCGGTGATGTAAATTCCGCTCGAATGGCGATGAACGTTTTAAGGGATCGGCAGGGCCAAGCAGTGTCTGCGGAATCAAGTTGCAACGATGGATTTAATCGGACGACGAGGCAGGTGCACGATCGAAGGGACGAGGCTAGACGGACTGCGCCACTTTCAAAAGATATCCGTAATCGATGCCGCTTGCGTCATCCGCTCGAGAACGCCCGATCGAGCGGGTGATGCGTCGCAAGCGAGGCGGCAATTAGCTATGATTGTCGTTATTTATTTTTCTAAAAAAAGAAGAAACTACGATGGAACCCGAGCGGTGGGGTCATCCAAACATCAACAGGAAAAGAGACCTGCTTCTGTGCTTCGTAACGAATTATGCTCGATCGTGAAACGAAAACTTGTAGCAAGGAGCGCAATAAAAAGCCGATGAAATAAGACGAATGATTTTTTTTTCAGCAACTAAACGCGCTCGGTGATTGAGAAATCTATCTAGTATATTTGTAGTTAGTAAGATACTCGCCAGTCGATAACACGCTGTTAGAAATGTAAGCTTCCTTTACGTGAAATTCAATGTGTGATGAATGATTTGACTGAAAATCAAGTTACAGTAGTTACTCAAATATTTCTGAAATTTAATGTACTTGCAATAAAATTGTATAAAAAGTACATTAAATTTTATGTACACGCGCGCAAATATGCTTTTTAGTTAGAAATACATGAAATTTAATGTAATGTCTTCAAATTAAGTTCGAATCAAAAGTGTAACTTAAAAGTTCATGAAATTTAAGAATATTTCTAACAGTAGCAAAGAAATGGCGAAGAAGTTAAACGTTTTTTTCTATTAGAATAATAAAACGTAGTATTTCGATTGCAATGAATTGTGGCGAAAAAAAAGTGTTTCTTTCAAGTTTCCAAGGTCTGTCATATTTTCACCTATCTAATTATCAATAACAATATAAAATACTGGTCACACCCTCCTCCCTTAGTTCAGTCAGTTGAAACATTTATCTTGTAAATGAAATACATAGATTACGCAGATGTCATCAGTTTGACGTCTAAAGGAGAGATTTCGAAGGAAAGATATCGTTCATCCGCTGATTGGAGTCTTCGCGTGTATCTTGGAGCTTGAGGCGGAAAACGTGATCGTTATACAACCGATGAGATATTATAGGAGGAAGTTATGTAGTCGCAAAGTCCGTCCAATCGTGCAAATAGCCTCGAAATTTTCATCTCTCGTTTCCAGGGGCTTCTCCAGGCCTTCGTTCTAATAATAGTATTCGCTATCTTATTGAGTCACGAAGCCGCTGTCGTCATTGTTGTCGATTTACACGTCTCTCCCGCTCGCGGAAGAATCCGTGACAATCGTGACGCGACCCGGTATTATTCGACGGATAAAAAAACATCTTGATCGGCTGCTTTTTTATTCCCTCTCCCCTCGGCGCTCTCGTCGGCGTTGGAAAAAAAAAAGCCGCGTTTTAACGAGCTCTATTTAACGACGTAAAAATTCCACGGATAAAGCGTGCACTCCTCACACACGTGAGCACGTGAGCGTTACACAACAGCAGGGAATGCACAATGTCGCCTCGTAAGACGCACTCGGATGAATGGCGGCACGTTCCGTAACGTCCCATTTCGCAAGTTACGTTTGACAAACGCGATCCTCGTCCGATCGATCTCGGCCTGTTATTTAATCCGTCGCGACGCACGTTTTATTTGCTAATTCTTTTTTTTTTTTACCTCGACTTGTATTTTTTCACGAGAAAAACCCCCGAAACACAAAAAAAAACCAGAGATGATCCAGGCGTATCCTTTGTATTCTTATCACGCATGAAACTTAAAACAGGTACTTTCTTTCGAGAAATTGTCGAGGTATCTTACGTAGTGAGAAAGATTTTGCACACGAAAAAGTACTGCGTTTAAATATTGGTTCTCGAGTATTTTAAAAGTTCGTACACGTCCTCAAATCGTAGGTTCATCAAATTTTTTATTTATTCAAAATCCTAGCGGAAGTTTACTTCAATCTCACTTATATTACATCAAAATCGCTCCTCTGACAAAATTTTGTAACGGTTTTCAAAGGAAAATAGACTTTTGTTTGAGTACAATAACGAATTCTTTTTTAAATTCGTAGTAGATATATTTTCAAACTGTTATCAAGAAAATGTTCTTTGTTAGAGATAAACGTTACTTAAAAAAAAAAAAAAAAAGTAAACAGAGTAATTACTTTTTTTAGCAGGAGAATAATATTTTTCTATATGTACGTATATTTATCTTAAAAACGATCCTTTTTCATCTTAAATTCTTAACATATCTGAATATTAGTTTAACATAATGTGAATAATTTATATTAAATTGATATTTATCATTTTTTAATGCTAAAGTAATAATTTGTGAACAAAAAACATAAAAATAATGTAGTTTTAAAATGTTAATTTCAAGATAAACGAATTAAATGTATCTACTTTAACATATTATAAATGTTAATTTTACTGAAGAAATACGCTTCAACAATTTGCTTGCAAATTGTGTCAGTGTTACATTTTTTGCGTTAATTTTTTACGTAATGTTTGTTTTACTTTCTAACATATTTACCTTGTGTTCAACTAACACAAGGATGATAAATTGTTTGCAAGACGTAAAATGGATATTAAATTTAACACAAATTTTCCGACTGTATGTAGCCAAATAGAATAACAAATCATGATGACATCGAAATAACATTAAAGCGAATCGTAAATGATTAATCGTAAGTGACTTTTTGTGAGTACTATTTTGAAGTCATGTTGACGTCATTTGATATTACGATGACTCGTGTTCTGTTTGTGCGTGAGTAGATACTGAAATTTTACATAAATGTAAGAAATTTTGTAACTAGAATTTACAAATTTCTCACATCTTAATCCACGACGAAGTTCGAGATAATCCACACACAGCGAAAAATATTTTATCGCTAAGATAAGTGATTGCTCAAATTACTTTCTTCCTCTTAATTAACGGATATACTTTTAACAAAGAATATTTTCCCCGATGACAATCTCGAAATATACTTATTACAAATTTGATAAGAACTCATTACTATATACTCAAAACAAGAACAAAATTGAAGAAGCGACTCTGTATAATAAACAAAACAAAAAGTCGAAATTTTTGTTTTAATACTTAAACATGATTTAATCTTGATTAACATGTCAAAAACTAACCAAAGGAGAATGTATTTCGAATCAATTTGATTGTGTAATAAACTTACTAGCTTAGACTTTGCGGATATATTTTAAACTTTCGAGATACTTGAAACAAATA